CCAATGAAATTTTGGGGCGTTACATGTTGTGTCTTGTATAGTTTGGTGGTTGTTTTTTCGATTTGTCGCTTTGGCCGTGGTTGCACTTAATCTCTCTTTTGAGAGCTCTGTGTAGGAGGTTCTCCTCCTTGTATCCGCATTTGTGCCTTTAATGTTATCTGTGTTCTTGTTGATTCAAAAAAATAATAATAATAATAACTAATCTTGTTAGATATATACAATGTCATTGTCTTCATATTACGTGACTGATTTGGTTTGGACTATAGCTATTGTTTGGTTACTATTATTTTTAAAATTCATTTTTTTTTCGCTTTTTTATTATCAATCACACATTTTTTAATAAAATAATATTACAAGTAAATTTAATTTTTTTATTTTCTAGAATTAAACTATTTGTACACACAAAGTGTACATCTTGAACGACAGCCTCTTACGCAGTGGCGGAGGTAGGGGTGGGCTGTAGCCCACCCTTGTCCATGCCCACCTTCTTTAAATTTTTTTTTTTTTGGATTATATCCATTATTTTTTCACCGTTCAAGCCCAGTAGCCCACTGTTGAAAATTTTTGCCCCCCGTACCATTAAATCCTAACTCCGCCCCTACTCTTACGTGTCAAAAAGTTAGCAATTGATTAAAAAATGAGCTTTCAAGATCGACGTACTAAAATTTGTCAACTCAAATGGGTGTAAAACATTGTCTAAATCTTTATGTACAAGTTGTATGATCTTTTCATTTTATCAAAAATAACTAAATTTGTTTGAGATTGAGAGGGAGCCGTAAACTTAACATCTAACAAGACATCAAGTACAAAATACCTAACTTGTGAATGGGGCCTTTTTGGTGACATTTGTACGAAGATTCTCATTAAGAAAGATCACCAAGGACTGTAAGCGCAAAAGATAATAGAATACAGATAATATCGACATTTAAAACATGCAGTAGCTAAGAAAGCAAGATTGTATTCTACTTGAGGAAATAAAGAACTACGTTCAAAATGAAGAACAAGTTCTAGACAATTCAATTTCCTGAAATTCATTTTCTTTCCACCTAATTTTCATTCTTACAATCAGACAGACCCTAAAATCCCTTCTAAGTAGAAGATCACTTTCATAAAATTAATCAAATGAGTCCAAAAGTTATTTTTGGATCTCAAAAACATCTTTTAACTTTTCAAAATCTATACCAAATGGGCCCTAATATCCTTTTGATTTGGTGGAGGATTGATACATGCACATGAAAACTTTGACATTTGTAGATTTTTCTTGGCACATGAATCAGACATTTAACTTCCAAGTTTCATTGAAATCATCGTTGTAGTAAATATCATTATTAAGATCCCCGTGGCATGTTTGCCAAACATATTAGAAATATCATTTTTTTTTTTTTTTGAATCAATAGAAATATCATTTTTTATAAAGGTAAAATATGAAACATTGTGGAAATATCATTTAAATTAATAATTTATTTTTATAAGCTAGTATCTAATTTGAAAACAAACATTTAACATTATTTTGAAGTGTAAATGTGCTCCGTTTGGTCCCAATTAAAATTAAAATTCATTTTTATCTCTTTTTTTATATCAATCATATATTTTGCAATAAAATAACATTATACGTAATTCCAAAATTTTTTCTTTTCTTTTAATCACACATTTAAAAAAAAAAAAATACGTTGTTTTAACCATTAAAATTTCAAATAATGGGGGTCAAACGAAGTTTGTATAAGAGTTAAAATTATAATGATTTAATTTTAGTTGGAACCTGCAATATGACGTTGGAGCTCATCGGAGATGGTGTCATTAATTCGTCTATTTCACAAGTTTGCTCAGTCAACGATGATCACCGCTGTTCGTGTTGTTCATGTTGGACCTTTGTTGTGATAATGTCGACCATGGTTCTTGTTGGGTCTCCCATTTGTTGTTGTTCCTTTTAATTTTACATTTTTGCTACATGATTTGGATGGGAGTGGGTGGGGGAAATGGATGTCGGGTTGAAGATGGAAGCGGGTAGCGTTGGTTGTTGGAGATGAAGGTGGTAGTGGTGGATTTTGGAGCCAATTCAGTTGCGCAGCTCCCATTTGGGATTGGAGGGTTAGGTTGAGAGATGAAGATGAAGAAATATCGCCTTTTTTTTCCTTTTATTTAATTATTTTAGATGGGAAAATGTAGAGTTATCATTATTTATTTTAGATGGGAAAATGTAGAATTATCCTTTTTAGAAATAGCCAAACATTTGACTGTCGATCAACTTAAGACAATTTGAATAGAAATAGTCTAAGAGGTCCTACGAGCAATCATTTATTTATACTTACTATAATTTTAAATTTTGGGTCCTTGTTACACATTTTTTAAAGGTTGGACCTCGGCAGCAAATTGCCTAATTTTTAATTATAGATCTCAAATTCATGGTTAAAAGTTCCTAAAAAATTCTTGCCTTTTTGGAGATGTGCGGTCTAAAATTGGTCATTTATCAATGATTTATTGACATATCATTTTACACCTATTTTTAAGCACAAATGATAGTGAGAGAAAAGTTGGATATATCAATTTAAAGTGATATATCAATGAATCATTGAGTAGATCTGAACTCGCCATTTTGGTATAGTTAAAAATTAGATTT